ATACAAGGGATAGCCGCCACTGCATAATTCAGTGTATTCCCTATAGCGCTTCGGATATCCTCTTGCGCATTTAGAAGAATCCGCTTCGCGACATGCGAGTTCCGGTCGCTCTGAGCATGGTCCATGTATCATGTGCTTTTTCATAAGTGTGTAGAAACGATGCTTCTCTTCTCTCTGAGGGTCATCAGCACTGGGATACTCCGGAATTTCAGCGCATATAATGGAGTCAATCTTTTCTGGAGTATCAATCTTATTTTCCAGAGTGATGAGGAGATGAGCGTGAGGCATTCCTCTTTTTTGGAACTCTATACTTCCGTGTAAAGCTACCACTTTACCAAAGATCTCTTTCTTTTTGATGTCATGGAGCAGTTCTGTGAGTCTCAAGAAGAACACACGGCAGCACAGAAAAGGATCTGTGATCCAAGAATCAAATTTGCCAGGTAAATTATTTTTAATCTCAGGCCAGTCTTGACTCCCTGTGAAAGTGACAAATAAATCCGGCTTTCCCAGTCTTTGAGCTACTGCCATGGCATCACTATAAAGCTTCTGGTACCAATTACGACTTCCAACAAACTTCTGAGGCATGTTCACTAGCCTTCCCAGCTTCACTCCTTTCTCCTTCAGTTTGTCGTCCAGATATTTAAACAGGGAACTTGCCGTTGAGCTTCTGAGTTCCGTACGATGCAATCCAATACTGCTTAGTCTGTCCGCTTCAATTCTTGCAAATGTGTGAAGCACATACTGCGAGTACAGCTTTCCCGTCCCAATTATGCGATGTTTATGCAAGTCCCCTCGGCGGGCAAGGATGTATAGAGCGAACTCTCTACGTGAGATGTATCGTGCCTTACGTCCATTTCTCGACTCAAGTCTACTGTCATCAATATCGTCATCAGCATCTTCCTCATAGTGCTCTTCGAGCATTAGTCCTGAATCGTTTCCACTACTTTTTTTCATCGCACCGTGTTTAATACTATATTTTGGCAGTTTTTCTTTTACAAATGTTTGCTCCCCGCGAACGAAATATAACGGGTACGTTAATGGATCTATGTTGTAGCTGTGATGAGGCGCTATTGTTTTCCCACCTCTGGACATGATCCGCAAACCTTCGTTCAGTTCCTCATGAGTTAGCATACCACCTTCTTTACTCACATATATGGCTGCAATTTGGTTTTCGAACACAGGTACATTCAGTCTTCCAGGGTGTACACTCGATATCAAGGACGGCGCAACATCTCTTCTTTGTTTTATATTCATTATAACTTTAGGAGTATTTGTCTCTTGAGTGCGTTGTTTTTGCAGCTCTTCACTGTATATTTCATACATCGTCATATACGACTGCACGATGGGATTGTGCTTTCGTAATATATCCATTATTCTACGTAACAATGTGAATTCGACTTTAGTATTCCACAACTTCATTGTCTCCTCAATTGACCGTTGCACCTTGAAGTCGTCCGCTATGAATAACTGAGCAAAGCATGCTCTATCCGAATCCGGATTCAAATGGCATAGTCCTATATCAAAGCGGCCTTGCAACACCAATGGTCTCTGACCAGAACATCCTTTGAATGACTTTAAGTTTATGCACAATCCGGCACAGGCAAGCATATTATTTATAGGACGAATCATATAGAAAAGATTTTCATCCTGCAACGCAGCTTCCCAAAACCAGTCCAACAAGGGATCCCTTCGAGGATTAAAAATGCTCTCCGGCACAACCACTTCACCGCCGTTACAGCAGATAGAAGAACTTTCTTTCTGAAACAGCAACGCTCCACATGCAGGACACATTTTGTTCATTCTTCCTATTGTGAA